TAATGGTGTGCTTGGCAAGGTTTTCCAAAGCTCGGAAGACCCCCCTTGACTCTTGATGTCGCACTGAACAGTCTCGTGAGAGAGAGAGAGAGAGAGAGAGAGAGAGAGAGAGAGAGAGAGAGAGAGAGAGAGAGATTGAGAGAGAGAGAGAGAAAGAGAGCGCGCGGCGCATGTGACCCGTGTCTGTGTGTGTGCGTCTGTGTGTCAATGCGTGTGAATCACCGTGTTTGTGCTGTCAGGAGAATCTGCGTTCTATATCGATCGGCAGAACTGCTCGCTCTCTCTCTCTCTCTCTGCCCTTCTCACAGCCCCATCCTTCCACACACAGCACACACACACACACATGACACACACGCACTCACGCAAAACACACACACCCATTTATTTCTTTGTAGGTTAAAATGTGCATTCTTTAGGCCTATTCCTCGGTGCTGGTAAGGAGGGTAGGGGGCGGGGCTGAGCATTTTCGTTAGGTTTGAGGTCAGGTCAGGTACTGAGAAGGCCTAGGCTCAGGTCAAGGAAAGTAGTACACGTGTGTTTTCCTCGGTTCGGGCCAACGATTGCGAAGGATACCTGTTTACTTGTCGTCGGGGGAGAGAGGGGGGTAATAGTATTGTCTATTGAAACCACAATCGCTCAGAAACTGAAAGGCTGCGCTTTCATTTAAGTCAAGTCGTACATGTGCACAATGTATTTCAAATATTCATTTAGAAATTGACAAAGCAGCATCTCCATTGCCTAACCAAAAAACGTACTTTGCGAGTAAATTGAAGGAATCATGTGAGCCAAAGTCAAATTTGATCATTTATTTTATAGAACCTCATATAGAAAAGATGGGCAGGGATGTGTCTATGTCAATAGACATGTACAGTGATGTACTGTAAAACAACCGTTAGAAACATAATAAAGTCCAGGTCTCGAAATTAAACGAGAAAATGTAAATAATTAAAATTAATAACATCAGATATATGCCAATTACTCGGTCTCAATAGCCGATTCAGAAAAGGGCCTTCAATTGCTTCTAGAGATACTGTTGTGAATGAAAGTGGGTGTAAAGGGTAATTGCTAAATTTGAAGAAAACAGAATGCATGATGAAGAATATTATAATCTATTTAAAGGGGGAAAAAGAAGCGGTAAACCCAAGTTGTAATCTCATAGAGGCAAAGGCGTGTTCTCTGTGAGAAATACGACCAAGATATAGGTACTTCTATAAATTGATTTTAGATCTTCGAGTGGGTGTGGCATGATGTATAATGGGTCGCAATGAACAAACAACAGGGACCAAAAATCTGTGCAACACTATCAGACAGCTGTTCACAAAGACTAGCAGTGTACATGTAGTTGTGCAAGGTACAGTGAACGACTTGTTCCACACCTCAGTAGGAAAGAGTCCACCAGGGCTGCTTCCTCTCACCGACTTTGTTCAATATCTTCCTTTAAAACGCATAATGACCAGTGCCCTTGAAAAACATCAGGGCACAGTCAGCATTGATGGCCGGACCATCGTAAACCTTCGGTTCGCTGACTTCATTGATGGGCAAACGGGAGAAGCACAAGAATTTGCGAGTCTGATCAAAACATCTTTGCCAGATACGGCATGGAGATCAGAACCGAAAAGACAAAGCTCATGACGAAGAGCATATAACGCCCGTAGAGAGAAAAACATCTGTCTGTGGACAGGAACTTGAAACTGGGTTGTTGTTGTTGTTGTTGTTGTTGTTGTTTTTGGAAAGTGTTTTACGGCGCTCACAACTTCATAAGTTCACTTGATCGCGCGGGACGCATTAAACATTTTCAGTTTGTAGGGAATTTTGACTTTTGCCCGGGTGGCAGCCGAAGCCTACTCTGATCAAATTTGGACCACCAAGGGATCTTTAACGTACGCAACTTGCAGTCAGGAGCCCAGAGGAGGGGGCAAAGGAAGTGAGGGGGTGGGGGCAGAAAGTTAAGACGAAAACAGACGACAGGACATTGTTAGAGAGCAGGAAAGGATGTAAAAGGAGACAATAATATATTTTAGAGAAGAAAATTGTTCGTCGCTAACCGGATTTGAACCCGGGACCTTTACATGAGAGGCAAACACCTTAACTTCGAGACCATGAGAGCCCCC